TGTTGGTTACGCTAAGCCTAGCCAGATTTGCTAGGTCCAATTACTGATTTCAGGGTTTGGGTTAGAGTATGTGGTCAGGGGAGAGGGTCTAATGGTTATGGAAGAGGGTCTTAGCGTTAGGGAAGGGGGTTTTATGGTTAGGGAAGGGGGTTTCAGGGTTAGGGAAGGGGGTTTTATGGTTAGGGAAGGGGGTTTCAGCGTTAGGGAAGAGGGTGTTATGGTTAGGGAAGGAGGTTTTATGGTTAGGGAAGTGGGTTTCAGTGTTAGGGAAGGGGGTATTATGGCTAGGGAAGAGGTAATGGTTTTTTATGGTTATGGCGGGGGTAAGAGGTTTAAGCCTAATGGCTGTCCCTTACTGCGAACTGGCTGCGATTACCACATAATGAATTAGCGTATAACTCGACGTAGGAGCGACTTAAAAGGATAATTGGAAATGCATGTGAAAGAGGACATTCTGCCCTTCGTGGCCATATATAGGGGTTTCTGGGACTTCTCTCGAGGTATCCATTGAAAGTCACCCAAAATTGTATTTCAGGGCTTTGCGCCAGCATTTTCTTTCACGGGGGGTGGCGCGTGGGCGGGGGGTGACGCGCGGGCGCGGGCGTGCCTATAAGTGAGCAGCAAGCTAACTTTCCTCATTAGTGTTTATTCGGGACGGGGCAGAGAAGCAGCCGAATTGGTACATCTTCAATTTGAAGTTTTTCCCCAGCACTTCGTAAGTACTTTACGCTTTTTAGACAATGCATTACTTAAGATTTCAAAGTAACTGTTTTACAAAGCATATCGCAGTTTAATTCCATGTTTAGATAAACTTAGTCTGCCGCTTTGATAAGAACGCTGCTGTTACAATGTATATGGCTATTTTGCGTTTGTCTAAACGGGGAATTAATTAATCTGCCGCTTTGATACGAACGCTGCTGTTACAATGTATATGGCTGTTTTGCGTTTGTCTAGACATATAATTAATCTGCCGCTTCTGAAATGCATATGGCTGTCTAATTAGTCTTTGTAAGCTGACGCAACACTCGCCGTGGCCGCAGTTTGTTGGGGGTAGAATCGCCATTTCGGGTGTGTGCTACTCAAGAGCCACCATTTGCCGCGTGGCGTTGCTCGGATACACGTAATCTGCCGCTTTGATACGAACGCTGCTGTTACAATGTATATGGCTGTTTTGCGTTTGTCTAAACGGGGAATTAATTAATCTGCCGCTTTGATA